TCAGAGGAAAGACTCCTACAAACAACTGGAAGCAGCAAAGTATGTTTTGTCAGAACCTGGAACACGATCATTACTGCTGAGTCTCATCAATCTGACCCGTTCGGCCTTCATCACAGTAGAGTATTACTGACATTTCAATTTGTAATAGATGTAAAATTGTAGAGCAAAGTAAGTAACAAAAGTTTTTTGGGGGGTTTTGAAGAGGTCAGTCCCTGAACTAAAGGCTCTGTGAAGTGTTTACAGTCATCTAATGCTGCTTTCACCCTCACTTTTCAGTGACTGAACTTGACCCCACTGCCAGTTATAGTCCTGTAACTAACTTTCTCTGAGACGAGTTGTGTTGTTTTAAAGCTATGCCCCCTTATGAGTGTCGTCACACCCACATATCGTGTTCTCTACAGACGCTGCTGCTGCTGGAAAGTTTCGTTTTCTGTAAGCTCACATGAACTCATATGCACACTTGGCAGTTATGTTTCTGAGCTGCAGTTCATAAACACTGCATCAGTTTATGATTTCACTCTTAGTTTTGTCAGACACAAATGTTTGAGTTGCACCAGCAAAGAGATTTAAGCTGAGTAGATGAGGTTTAAAAACAGAAAATTGAAAGATTTTAAAGTTGAGTTCTAGAGTTCCTTTGACAATTATAAACTAACTATAAACTTTATTAATAAAAGCCAAAAGAACAAAGTTTAATCAATACAGAGATGTGTGCTTTTCCCAATTTTAATACCTTTGCTTGCTATTGGGACCCGGTAAATATAAACAGGGGGGCTGAATTGTTAAATATCGACTGCTCTGTATTTCCTAAACACAAATTCTCCCTACCCTGCATGCAGCAGAGACTGCAAATACATCACACATCTGTTTCTATGCTTATGTTTTATTTATAATACTTATAAATGAGCGTCGGTGTGATTTAGTTTGTCTTGTTTACATACCAACGGGCTTATTTCTGCCTGTAAACACGCTGTGACTCCTGTGTTACCAATAACGGCTGTTGTGGCAGGTGTCCACACTGACCTTTCCTAAAGAAGTCAACATCTTGAAGTCGATGTTCCTTCGATGCCGAAGAATCCGGAGGATCCCGTCCAGATAAACCTGATCTTTGCTGAAGCAGCCTGAGACAGAAACGCACAGAGAGGTTAAAAATAAAAGCTACACTCTTCTATCTGCACTATGACATGACACATGTCCTCACTTTTCTAAATCCTGCTCTCTGATAAGACGAGATCAACCTTTATTAATCCCACAGTGGGGAAATTTGCATTGTCACAGCAGTAAAGGGAGAAGTGCAAACGTTTATGGAATATTAGTAGAAAAGTAAAAAAAAAAATCCAAAACATCTATAGGCACCAGTTGTGATTGTTTAAAATGTCTCTGGATGGAAAAAAACAACATTAATGGTATTGCATAAATTATTTCATGAAATCCTGATGAACTATTAATATTGCACAGATTTGTTATTCTAGTAGAAAAATGTATATTGCACAGAGTTTTAACTGTTTATAAAAACAACAGTTTCAATATGCAAAGTCCAACTGCTATTTTTTACATCCATCCCTCCATTATCTATACACCGCTTAATCCTCACTAGGGTCATGGGGGGGTGGAGTCTATCCCAGCTGACTTAGGGTGAAGGCAGGGGACACCCTGGACAGGTCACCAGTCTATCACAGGGCCACACTTAGAGACAGACAACCAAGCACACTCACATTCACACCTACGGACAATTTAGAATCACCAATTAACCTCAACATGTTTTTACCCTTGTGGGAGGAAGCCGGAGAACCCAGAGAGAACCCACGCTGCACGGGGAGAACATGCAAACTCCACGCAGAAAGATTCCAGTGCCCCCACCGGGACGCGAACCAGCAACCTTCTTGCTGCGAGGCAACAGTGCTAATCACCGAGCCACCTTGCAGCCCCTATTTTTCACAAAAATCTAAAAAAAAGTACGACACAACTCTAATCTTTTCTGTTGTCTGTAACGCTTTTAAACACAAATTCAAGGATTTAGCTGTGATTAAAAAAAAAGAAAGTCATTTGCAAGAAGAAAAAGAATTCAAGACTTTAGGGAATTGCTGAAGACCTCAGAAGAACACAATATTGCTGGTGTCATAAGGTGGATTGCAGTGCACTAGACTGACCAATTATTAGTAAATTGAATGCACTACTTCAGGTCTCTGTGGTCTCACAAATGTCTCTCAAGCAGATGCTGCAAAAAACTGAACAAGAAACACGAGCCGTTACCACAAACCAGGAAATCGGCTTCTCTCACAGTGGCTAAGGCTATGCTATAGGCTAGCGAATAAATTAGAAGGCAGACACAGATTAACCTGGAACAGTCTGGAAAACAATAGTTAAAAATGCTTTAAGAGTTGGACCTTAGTGAGCAATAAAAGTGATATACAGTGAAAGATAGAAAATACAGAAGAATGACAAACTGATCAATCTCAGCTGATCCCACATAAACAGAGGAGAGCGTCCTGATTTAATCACTCCTATTTCTACTTTATTTAGTTATAGTCTCCCTTATTAATGAAGTAGCCTAGTTACGAATGACAGGTTCTCTGATATCACATGCTGGTACAACATTATATTTAATGTATATCGGTTCAGCAGTTCTTGATGACCAATAACCACATCGGCTCTAAAAGCTCCATATCATATCCATATCTCGATCGATCCCTAGCACGAGGTCCAACTCCTATTCGCTACAAAACTTTGCCATGTGAAGCATTTTTAAACACAGATTCAAGGATTTGACTGTAATTTTTAATGAGAATTAAGGCCTTAATTTGCTAAAATCAATTCAAGACTTTGCTTAAAAAAAAAAAAGGGATAGCAGGTGGAGCAGTTGGCTTGCGGTGCATCAGACTGTACAGGTGAAGCTAATAAAGCGGCTAACTGTGCTCACCGGGCTGCGACGTGTCCGTCTGTCCCCTCTTGGCCCTCAGGCAGTACTCCCAGCGGACGTCCGGGTCCTGGACGAAGCGGGCGATGTGGCTGAAGAGCTGGCTGAAGCTCATGCTGGTGGCGTGGTACACCGTGTAGTAGAGCAGGGCGGCACGCCACAGGTAGGGCTGTTTCCGTAGCAACACACTGTGCAGGCTGGCCAGGCCCTCCTCCGTGGGATTGGCCGGTTTGAGGCCGAACTTCTTCCTGCCGTCTGCGGTGGCCCACGGCTGCAGGTTGTTGTTCACACCTCGCAGGTAATGTGTGCCTGAAGGAAAGAGAAACATCAGTTGCAGTCATGTTTACTATTAAGCCCTGGAGGGGCAGAAAGACTCACCTTGTAACACCTGTTGGAGTTTTTCTTTTTTGTTTGCCTTCTGGGCCTATTTACACAATTCATCTGTTATGACTGGACTCCCAGACAATGAGAGCTACAACCAGTTCTGCAGCCTGGTGAGGCTGAACGCTGACTCAGTGCTTCTGCCTCCATTATGGCACCACTTCACTTCAGCAACCATATATCACAGCTTTATGGAATTACTATTAATATTTAATTGCAGGGAGCATACAGGGGATGCATCGATCCTGGAATTGTTGCTACACAGTCTAGCTGTCTCTCTTCTGTCTTCGACATTTTTTATTTGACTTGAAAAAGCAAGTTATTACAATTCTAAGGCTTGTCATATTTACAGCATTAAAGACCTTATTGCTTTTCCAATATTTTCAGTTTTCACATCAGTCTTATGTTATTGCATAAGAACGGCAGAGCAAGTGGGCTTACGCTTTGTAATTATCTTCAGAACAAAAAGAGAAGTAGATGAAGAGATCCTTGACATTTTAGCCATATTTCACATTACTTTTTTGTTCATGTTTTGCTGTCTAGTTTTCATGCAACAGCTCCAGAGGGATGTACCACGAAGTAAGTTCCAGGCTTTCTTTGTGTTAACCAGCTTGACAAAACCTAAAACTCCAGTCAGAGGTAACATGACGGTGGTTATTAACTTTACTTGTAAACCAGGCTTTCTGCATCATGAGACTCTTCTTCTGCACATTGTGTGTGCATTGTGTGCTGCCTGCCTCAGCCAAAAAGGAGTTTGTGATGAGAGATATGAATTGAATAAAGCTGTGAGCAGGGGGGTGCGTGAGCTGCAGCATACCGATCTCGTGCCTCAGCATCCCTTCCAGCCAGTGCTGCCGAGCTCCGGCCAGGTTGATGGTCAGAGTGGGACGGCAGCTTTCCACCATCATCACAGCCTGAGACAGCAGCTCGTCGGACAGACGCACGACGACCTGAAGACGAACAAGCATCGCCACGTTGAGCAGGTAACAACACAGAACATAGAAATAAACCAGAATAATGAGATTAAAAGCCAACTTGAAACTAGTAAATCTAATGTGTGAAAATAAATCTTTCCTGCTGTGATGTGAGTGAATATCCTGAGCATGCTCAGTGTTGCTCAGTGCACTCACCTCCCCCACGCAGCCTTCCTTCTGCAGGTATTTGCGTACAGCGGCCCAGACCTGACTTTTAGGCAGGACGTTGCCGCCGGTCACCTCCTCGAAGTTCTCGTAAGAGCCAAACTTCCTCAGGACGCACTCCATGATTCCAACCGCCTGCCGTCAAACACAAAAACACAAACATCGTCATCAGCGCGTGTTGAAGTTTGTAACTTTGTGCATCATCTTAACCAAGTTTTCTGCTCCAGAGTCTGTGTACGTTCACAAAAAAGGGGCCATTGAACGCGTCATGTGACTCTTCTTCAGCATGAAAGCGCTGCCTACTTCAGTTACGAGAAACTGCTTGTTGTAATGGAGAGTGATGAAGCACATCAAATTGCATTACCGTAGTGGAGTGCTGCTACTGCAAGTGATGCAAAGGAGGCATGCTGGTAGAAAACTGTGAATGCAGCAGGTTAGTACACTATATTTACCACTTAGTGACTCTTAGTGAAGTTAGAGCTTCTAAACTTTGAATTTCTGCTGTTGATTGAATATTCTCTGTGATAAACACCAACAGGCTGATCAATTTTCTAATCTGGATTACATTAGCTGCAGTACCAGCAGGGTAAAATAGACCTGGCAGCAAATCATGACATAAAAACATATTTATGTGCTCAACAGGTTTGCAGATGCAACATATTCTCTCAGCTGAGAATCTGTATCACTTACAGAGAATCATCAGGAAATGGAATAAAGAAAGGAAGACATTTTTTAGAGCTGATTCAAATCCCAAACTCTGAACAGAACCTCCTCCAGATCAGGTTAGCTGTGCAGCATCAGTTACCATGGTGATCTAGCAAACTCAGGCTTCAGGCTCAACATACCTGCTGACCCATTAATCCTGCTGTGTAAGGTCAGGTGACCCCCCCAGGCTGGTTATTAGGTGTCTACTGCAGACGTACCTGCTCCAGGAAGAGGCCTGAACCCTCCCTGTACTTGTCCAGGACGCCCCTCGGCTCCGGCTGCGCGTACTCAAACTGAGGCTCGTACTTGTAGTCGGACTGGAAGAACGCCTGCTTCTCCTGCTCCAGGTTCAGCGGTCTGAGGGCGACCAGCAGACAGGGCCTGGCCGGCGTGGCGAGCGACGAGGTGCTCACGCCTTTGGCTATGTGGGGCAGGGAGGTGGCGGGTCGCATCTGCCCCCTGCCGCCCCGCAGCCCCAGGGAGTAGTTGACGGAGCAGGTGCTTTCGCTGCGCCGCATCCAGCCGCCGGCTCCCAGGCTGGGGCTGGTCAGGCTGCGAGCCGGGGGCGACGGGGCGGCCGGACCGCTGCGCCATGGAGGCTGCACGATCCTCCGGTCGGCAACGTGCTCCTGAGAGCCTCGCAGGCGCTGAGGCGTCACCTCCAGGCTGAGGGGGCGGCGCAGCGGAGGTCTGGGTGTAGCCCCACATTTCAAGGACGACGACCTCCTCTCCACCGCCTGGCTGCCGCTGCCGCTGCTCGTCTGGGCCGGCAGGCCGTTGTGGGAAACCTTCTCCTTCTTGGTGCTCCTTTTGGCCGAAGCTCTGGGCTTCGTGGAGGAGCTGCCGGCGGTTTTGGGTGGATCTGCTCGGACATCTGGCTCCAACAGAACCCCGTCGCTTTCACCCTTAACCTGATCCATGAAGACTTCCCCTGAGTCCAACACCATCACCACGGCCGCCGCGCCTCAGGCTGCTCCTCGCTCCGGCCTCGCACTGAACCAAACAACACCAAGATGATGAATGCTAATTAAGTTTCATTATTCACCTTTCACAGATACAATCATTTAATCAATCAGTCAGAAGTGATGAAGTCTCTTGGATGGGAGGTGAAACGTCTTCAATGATTTGGGGTTTTATTGATTTATTGATTAACTTGACACATGTTCAGCTAATTTAATCTCAGTATGCCAATGATTTAGGAAACTTGACTTTTTCACTCTTTGACTGTAAATTTGTGTTGAAATATTTGTGTGTGTGTGTGTTTCTTGTAGCTTCACAGTTGTTGAATATTTTCTATGGAAAGTCAAGCTGCACTGAATAATCAATTAGTTGTCAACTGATAAATTAATCACCAGCTGTTTTGAGAACCAGTTATTCAGTTTAAGTACTTTTGTTGTTTTTTTAAAGTCTAAATTCTCAAATTTGAGCTACTTTGATGTGAATCCTTTTCTGGTTTCTTTCTTTCTCTGTGACTGTAAACTGAATATATTTAGGTTTTGGACAAAACAAGACATTTGAGAATGTCATCTTGGGACGTGACAAACACTGAACAAAACATTTTTGTGGTATTTTCTGACCTTTTATAGACTAAACAACTGGTGGTTTGGCCGAGAAAATAATTAATGATAAAGGCTTTGACATAAACACAGAGATTTTCAGTTTAGTGTCAAAGTGGAGGAAAGAAACTAGAAAATATTTGTATTTAAGAAGCTGAAAATCAGAGAATCTAAACTTTTTTTTTGCTTAAAAAATTACCCAAATTGATCAATCAGTTATAGCTAATTAGTAAATGATCAGTTGACAACCAGCCAATCAATCACTGTATCTCTAATGACTGCCAAAAAAATACAAGCACAAAGCCACAAACCACAAATAAAAACATTCAAACATACAAGAAACAAAATAAACACACATTTCAGTTTCTTAAATCAGTGACATACAGACACTAAACCAACTAAACAAACAACCTATAGAGTGACAAAAATAATAAAAATAAAAGAGGTCAATCAATATGTGTGTTTTTTTCAGTACAAATGCTAATTATTAGTAATAACTAGACTGATAACAGACATAACATCATGAAGTGATGTATAGAAATGTTGGTGCCACATTTATCTTTCAGTCTTGATGGTCTATTACTCGTGACGTTTAACCAACAGAGCTGCAACAACTGATGGATTAATCAATTACACATTGATGACTAAAAAGCTGTTCACTGTTTTGATAGCTGATTATCCAATTTGAGTAAACAAAGTAAACAAAAGCCGTTTTCTATTCGGATTACAGCTTCTTAAATGTGAATATTTTCTGGCTTATTTCCTGCTCTGTGACAGTAAACTGAATGTCTTTGGGTTGTGAACAAAGTAAGATGTTTGAGGATGTCGTCTTGGGTTTTGGGATGATGGACCATTTTATATAACAAACTTAAACCTAACTGATTGATCCAATAAGTAATCACTAGTTCCAGCTCTTCACATTATGTCAATGAAGTTTCCTTCATATTTCATAAACATTGTCTGTTGCAAATTAGTTCTACATAGTAACTAATGCATTTATTTAACAAATCTATTGTAGATTGTCACAGGTTGTCTCTCAGTCACTCCATTCTGGGTTGCCCGTTTTCCCAACACAAACTTATTTTGTCATTTTGTGGACAAAAATAAGACATTTGAGAACAGGATTTGGACCTTTAGGAAGCATGTCTGACATTTTATGGGCCAAATGAAGAGTCAGAAAACATTCAACAATGAAAACAGGCAAAGCAGTAGGTTTATCTGATTCAAAATCTACCAGTTATCAGAAATATACAAAATATCGGCCCCAGTAACTGGATCCTTTGTAAATAACGCACAGAATCTTGTTCATGGCACTTTTGCTATTGGCTGCTGTGCAAATTATTCTTAAACTCATTTATAAACCAAGTTAATAATGATTTGTGCTTTTTTCCGTGTCCATGAATGGATGTGTCTGGCTGTGTGCTGGAGCTGCAGGGTGTGTAAGAGCAGGAAAATGAGGCTTTAATTAGATCAGAGTGGATAAATGAGTGGCAGCAGGTGAGGCCAAGTCTGTGTGTGTTAGACACACACAAAAAAACCACAAGTCAACAACAAATCTTCACCACAACACACAATCTGGCTCATATTTACTTGTAAAGACAGAAAATACTTCATTTTCATTTTAAATTCTCCCATTTCCGCAGCTGCCAGCAGAGTTTCCCAGCAGGGGTACACAACAAATCAGTTCCATGTTTTCCTTTAACTCTCCAACAACATCAACTCACACAGACACTGACCGAGCAGCGAGTCCCGGGACTTCAGCGGAGGATCTGCGGGTTTCAGCCGCTTATTTCACTCATGTCGGCGGCAGCTCCTCTCTCCCGGAGCCGGACTGGGGCTTCTTCTGTCGGTGGAGAGACGGTAATAATAGGCGGGTAGCGGATCGGTAAGGAGCGGGGCCTGAGGCGGCTGCCTGGGCCGGCCAGGAAGCGGCGGTTGAGTTGGAAGATATGACGCGTTACGCCGGGAAAGACGTTCTTGACGTTCCCCTGCGTCATTACGTACGACCGGAAGAGAGACGGCAGCGTGGAGGGAAGGAGGAGCCCGTAAAGCCTTCATTTATAATTATATAAAATATTTTAAAATATTCAATAGGCGTATGTTTTTATTTAATGTTTTATTTGATTTCTATAAATGTAATAACATAAGCTGAAATAAATTAAGTAATTTGAGGAAATAAAAATCAACTCCAATCAAAATGTATTGTGACCCTCATATCTCAATGTACCGGAAAATAGACGTGCTTAAACAAATAAACAAAAAAACATTGTCAACCTCACAACATATCTACAAAACAGAGAAACAAGCTGCAAATACAGAGAATGTGACACAAAGTAGCCCACTGACAATGAAAACATATAGAATATTACAAAAATTACAAAGAAATATTCTGTAAATTTTCAAAACAAGACAAAAAGTCTAAACAAATGAGATGAAGGTACATAAAGTAATACCAAAAAAAAGTGAACAAGCTGCAAATAAAGAAAACGTAATAAAACATACAAAAATTAAATGTAAAAAATGTTAAATATTACATTATTCTGTATATATATGCAAATACAGAAAGCATTCCAAAAAAAATAAACAGGCAAAATACAGAAGATGGTTACAGAAGAACAAGAAACAAGCTTAAAATTATGAAAATATTGCAAACATTAAAAAAAAATCTGAAAATAAAGAGATCATGCTAAGTAACTGAAAGTCAATAAAGTGAAAATACAAAAAATATTAGAATATCACGAAACAAGCTGCAAATAGAGTAACATTATAAAAAACAGAAATCGGCTAAAAATACAGAAAATATTACAAAGACATGTATTGGAAAACACATAAAATGACCCCAAATGAACTGCAACTACAGAAAGTATTGCAAAAAGTAACAAGCTAAGAATTCAGAAAACATGCCAAAATGCTGCAAATTTATAAAATCTGATGAAAAAAAATCAGCAAATACAGAAAACTTTATGGAAAAATACAATAAATGGGCTGAAAAACACACAAGTTAGAAATCTGCAAATACAGAAAACATGACAAATGTCTGAAACACTGACAAAATCTCCCCTAAAAACAGTAAGTCAAGCCAATAGAGCACAAATAAAAACAACAAATAGTTTAATGGAGATTATCTGATTGGTAAAAACAATTAAAAAAAATACAGACACAACAGAATAGATGCAAATTAATAAAAGCAGATGAAATCTTGAAAACACAGCAGGGATGCATAGAGAGCAGATTAAACAGTATATGGAGGAAAACCACTAGATGCTGCTGCTTACACACTGAAACGGTAGCCCGGCTGCTCCTGCTGTTCATGCTGGCTGCACACAGATCCACTCTGACAGAGATTTCAGAGTGACTGTGCAAAAATGAACTTTGAAGTTCAGCTAAAGACAGAAGATATTGACTTTCACCTGGCGAAGAAGCTTCTTATCAGCTCCAGCTGAAGTTTAAATTTAAATTTAAACTAATTTAACAAACTAAACAAATCCAAGAACTCCCTGATCCCCTATGAACAACCTTTGTTTTATTTAATTATGTTTATTTATTCAATAAAAAAGGCTTGTTTTGTGTTGAAGACAATTAATTGAAACGACCTTTTTTATGGAAATAGTAGTTGCAAAAATGTAATTTTTCTGAATAAACAGCCTGCATTTATGCTACTAATCATTAAATAAGTCGCAATAAAAACAAAAATTTAGGGAAAAAAGCTAATTCCACTACCTCAATGTAGTTTGTTTGTTTTGCATAGTTTCTCTAGAAGCTGTCATAACTCAAAAAGATTGATTCAATCTGTTGCATCATTTTTTTCTCGTTGAACCTGCAGGGAGCAGAGGAAGGTATTGCTTAGCTGTTATCCAACTTAACCTCTTACGAACTTAACAACTTTTATGCGCGCTTCGAGGATCTGGGCCAAGAGGTGTGCATCCCTTCTGGCAGAGAGGAGGAGATGTGCACCAAATGGAGCATGACATGAGGCTGATGTTTCAACTCCAAGAAATGCCAAGAAGCTGCAGGACCTGACGGTATCACAGGTGTCCTGTCCTCAAAACCTGTTCCATCCAGCTATCACCCGTGTTGACGGAAATATTCGACCTCTCCCATTCCCAGATGCTTTAAACAGTCTGTCATTTTTTCTGTCCCCAAGAAAGCCAAGCCCAGCTGTCTTAATGACTGCTGGCCCATTGCCCACACCTCTGTGGTGAGGAAATGTTTTGAAAGACTAGTCTGAAACTTTATCACCTCCTTCCTACCTGCCTCCCTGGACCTCCTACAGTTTGCATACCGGCCAAACAGATCCACAGATGATGCCATAAATCACCTGCTACACACAGCCCTGGCCCACCTGGACACGAGGAAGGGGAATTATGTGCCAGTGCTGTTCGTGGACTTCAGTTCAGCGTTCAACACCATAGTCTCCTCCAGGTTGGTCACTAAGCTGCAGGACCTCGGACTCACCTGGATCCTGGCTCTCTTCCTCCTTTGTTAACGTTCATACCGGTTGCATTTCCTTCTCTCTTGGGTAAATGCCGGCGTAGTCTCCGATCGGACTCCGTGTTGGTGTAGGATGTCCAAATCACAACCGGCTGCCACAATTTTAGAGACGTTCATTGCCCTGAAGTTCAGCCAAGTCTCTCGGCTGTAAGTTTTGTGGAATGAACATCTGGGAAAGGGAAAACATACTAAATTTTCACTCTTGCTGTCTCCTGAAGTGGCCATTGCATCCATGCGCTCCGCCATCTCTAATGATGATGACTCACGGAGAAAAGTTTTCGTCAAACAGTATATTTATCTATATATCTATATAGCTTGTGTGTTTTATTCTTTATTCTTCCTATTATCCATCCATCCATTAGCTATACACCGCTTAATCCTCACTAGGGTCGCACAGGGGCTGGAGCCTATCCCAGCCGACTTAGGTCGAAGGCCGGGGACACCCTGGACAGGTCACCAGTCCATCGCAGGGCCACACTTAGAGACAGACAACCAAGCACACTCACATTCACACCTTCGGACAATTTAGAATCACCAATTAACCTCAACATGTTTTTGGACTGTGTGGGAGGAAGCCGGAGAACATGGAGAGAACCCACGCTGCATGGAGAGAACATGCAAACTCCACGCAGAAAGATCCCGGTACCCCCACCAGGATGCGAACTGGCGACTTTCTAGCTGCAAGGCAACAGTGCTACCAACTGCGCCACCTTGCAGCCCTCTTCCTATAATTACTACTATTAATATAATTATAATAACAATAATTAATTATTTCGGTGTTGAACAGGTGTACAATACAACTAAGTGCGTGTTATACCATGTATAATTGTGTTTGTGACAAATAAAGGCCTTGAATCCTTCAATCCTTTAATCAGTGAGATGAGACGTGTCGTGACCTGGGCGGCTGGATAGTTTGTGGTAAATTACTTCCTGGTGCAAGTCGAGCACCACACCTGTTCTGTTTTCTTGTGGCTTCAGCTGCTCAGCATTGACTCAGCAGCAGGTCAAATGTCACATCACCAATATGGGTTCTTATCTGATTGTAAACTATGTGTTTATCCTATTACACCTTATAAGTATATGCAAATTATAATGGATTTAAAATTTGCGATGATTTCAAACCTTCAGCGGTCACCAATGCATGTACTGACCCCAAAATGTAATCACTCTGAGAAGGACAATACTGAGGTCACTGAACTCCTCTCCTGTAAAGTGCTAGACTGTTAAAAGACAAGAAAAACAACCCAAAACACATTCATGTACGGGCACGGTTACTCTATAGTTGCCCATCGATAGACAACTATAAAAAACATTTTCTCT